AATGTATGTATCAAGATGAACCATAGCTGTCCATGTATGTATCAAGATGAACCATAGCTGTCAATGTATGTATCAAGATGAACCATAGCTGTCAATGTATGTCGAGATCTGGGTCCAAAATGGCAAAGTTTTGATGCATTTGAAATAATTTTGATTTGATTTTGGCTATCTTGGATCATAAACAAATTAATGTGCATATGTCTGACATGATTTATAATGTATCTATAAATTTGAACATGATCAAAATCATGGCTCTGGAACAGTGACTGCGTTCATTCAAACAAAATGGCTGGCAGTTGGTCATTTTAAATCTGATCTAGAAAACAAAATGATGTGCATCAAGGTCTTATTATAAAAAAAGTGTGTACCAAGTTTGAACAAAAAACATCCATCCACAACGAATGGTAGATATGCTTAATTTTGATGAATTTTAAGCTTGAAAATGGCCACCATTCAGCCATCAGATTGAATCAGATTGTTAAACTAATAAATGTGCATATGTATCCCAGAATGTATATGCAAAGTTTGTATGTGATTGGCCCAGGCTTGTGTGCACACAGACATGCAAAGTTTAATTCATAAGTCATCATTTGGACTGACTGTGACTGAATGGGAACTAAAAAAGTCTTCAGCACAAGTCTCGGATGAATAGAGACATCACTCCTGGCTATTGTTTAAGCCATTTCCAGATTCCTGAAGAAACCAAAATAATAACAAGCCATGCATGGCACAGTCCCTGTTAGTTATCAAATTTAAGATATATACCGGTAGTTTTGTTTATAGTCATAAGCTGATGCTTACTTGTGATGATTTTTTAACATTAAAGTTCATTAAAACAAAATGGCCGCCAGTCAGCCATTTTGAATCTGATCTGAAAAACAAAATGTGCATCAAGAACCAATAATGTCTAATGAATGTTTCATTTTTGAACGAAATACATCCATAAGTGACCGAGATCCGGTTCTGGAATGCCAGAAAAGCTTGATTTTTGATGATTTTCTTGCAGAGAAATGCCCACCATTCAGCCATTTTGAATCAGAAGGTCAAATCAATAAATTTGAATAGCTATTACATGATGTATAATTATTTATAAAATTTCAACATAATCAGTCAAAGCATGTCAGAGATATGGCACTAGAACTGCACTGAGTAATTGAGATATTGAAAAGCTGAAAACTGATGAATTATTATGCAAATCAGGTAATTAATATGAACAGATGTTAAGATCTGGTCTGTGTATAGTCCGAAAGCATCTATGTATCAAGTTTCATTGAAATGTAACGATTAGTATATCAGCAGAAAGCCCAAAAATGGACCAATCATTATACAAATTAGGTAATTGATATGCATGGGATTTTACCTAAAACTAATCAGGTCTGCGCATTGTACCAGAGCGTCTATGTACTAAGATTCATACAAATTCCATTAAGCGGTTCCTTAGATTTCAGTGGAACTAACACACACACAAAAACTTGCATTGTGTGCGTCACACACTGGAGTAAAAAAAAATAGAGATTATGAAATTATACCTTTTAATTACAAATGGCTTTTCTTCTACAGTGGGTATTGCCATATATTCACCTGCATCAACCTCAGATTGAGGTAAATCTACATCAGCAGCTGGTCCACTGCCATGCAGGATCTTTTTTAGCCACGACTTATCCTCATAGCTCACACTAGAGTCAGCGTAGTGTCTGGACTGCAAGTAGACAACAGTAAACGCCTAGAAAAACATGCAGAATAATTAAGAGTACATAAAGTAAATACTGTAGTCAACACAGACAACGGATCCACCATTTTCAGACTAAGT